AAAACAAGTTATCAAAATTTGAGGGATGCTGTGGAAGTAATGCTTAGGGGCAAATTTATAGCATTAAATGCATAAGAAAAGATCTGAAATCAATTATCTAAGTTTCTATTTTAGGAAACTAGAAAAAGAGCAAATTAAATCCAACAAGAATTAGAGCAGAAATCAATGAAAATTAAAATAAGAAATCGATAGAGAAAATCAACAAAACCAAAAGCTGGTTCCTTGGAAAGACCAAAAAGATCAGGAAGCCTCCAAGCAGGCTAAGAAAAAATGAGAAAGGAGATGAATTATTAATACCAGAAATGAAAAAAGTGGTATCACAACATATCCTACAGACATTAAAAGTACACTAAAGCAATACTATGAACAACTCTGTCCACAAATTTGATAATCTAGATAAAAAGGACCAATTTCCTGAAGGATACAATTTTTTGTCAAAACTCACACAATAAAAAACAATCTGAATTGACCAGTATCAAAGAAATGGGACCAATAATTAACAGCCTTTTAAAACAGAAATCACCAGACCAAGATGGGTTCACTGGTAAATCCTAATAAACATTTAAGGAAAAAATTATACCAATTCTCTACAATCTCTTGAGAAGACAGACGCAGAGGGAATACTTCCTAAGTCATTCCATTAGGCCAGCATTCCTCTAATACTGAAACCAAAGACATCACAGGAAAATTACAGACCAGTATCTTTCATGAACATAAATGCCACAACAAAATAATAGCAAATCAAATTCAACATTTTATAAAAAGAATGATACACCACAACCAAGCACGATTTACTTATTATGCAATCATGCATTATCTGTTATGCATACCTGAGTAACATTATGCAAACCTGTTATGAAAATTATGCATACCTGTTATGAAATCATGTTGGTATTTACCCAAAGGTGGTAAAAACTTAAGTCTACCTCAAAACCTTCTCATGGATATTTACAGCATTTTTATTCACAATAGCCAAAACTTGGAAGCAATTACGATGTCCTTCATAGATGAACACATAAATAAACTATACATCCAGACAATGGAATATTATCCAATGCTAATGCTAAGAGGGAAAAAAAAAAGCTATCAAGCCATGAAAAAACATGGAAGAAACTTAAATGCATATTACTAAGTTAAAGAAGCCAAACAGAAAGGCTACATACTATACAATTCCAACTATATAATATTCTGGAAAAGGCAAAACTATGGAGACAGTAAAAAGATCACCAGTTACAAAGGGCAGAGGAGGGATGAATAGGTGGAGCAGAGGAATTTTAAAACTGTGAAAACACTGTTAGGACATCACACCCATAGAATGTACACCAAGAGTGAACCATAATTTAAATTTAGACTTTGAGTGATTATCATGTGTCAATGTAAGTTCATCAATTGTAACCAATGTATCACTCTAGTGGGGGATGTTGATAATGGGAGAGGCTACGCATGTGTTGGGATAGCAGTATGTTGGAAATCTCTATTATCTTCTCCTCAATTTTGCTGTAAACCTAAAACTGCTCTAAAAAATAGTTTTTAAAAAAGGAAAAGCAATAAAATTATAAGTTTACACTAACTTATTTTATAACTAGTCCTCTGGCAATAGGTTTTTCCCTCCCTCTCTAGGTTTTGGCTCCCTATGTCCGTTGTTCACGTTTCTTCATCATTCTATTGTCATCTCAGCACCTTACCAGCTTGGTTCCCAATAGTCTCTTGGTATTCCAACTCCAAAACTCAGAAAGAAATACTGTTAATACTCTAGCCTGCATCAGATATTCAGCTCTGATTCAAATACCTGGTACAACTTTGGCTGGAGAAGGTATGAAGGATGAGAACATATCAGGATCACATGCTCCTCGGTCGAAACCCTTACTCACTGGTCCTTAGAATGATATGCTTACAACACTGGCAGGTTTCTAAAAAGGTTGTGGGCAAGGAAATCAGGTAACAGTCTTAACTGTTCTAATTGAAAAGGCAAACTTCTGTTTTTAATTTCCCGATATTTTCTTAATTTAGAATTGAATTAATGTAGAAGTCAACATTCATGTAAAAATAAGGTTAATTTTGTTACAACATTATTTTTAACTTACACTTAACATATATTATTTAAAAGTAAAAATAAATACTGCACAGGAGGAAATTAAATGCAAAAAAAAGCCGCGAACTTTTTTTTTAAGTAATAAATCTTTCAGTGCCTCAGTTTCTTCACCTTAATATAGGGGTAATAATAAAATGGCTATAAAGGTTAAGTAAAGATTTTATGTGTAAAGCATTTGAAGTTCTGTGAATATCAGCAAATACTAATCTTTTTTTCCTCACATGAAATGTCTTCTTAGCCTCACAATTCCAATACTTATTTTTCCATAGTCTGTGAAATTTACAAACTATGTATCACTAAAATTTCTCTATTAAGCTGCATAGAAGTATATTCTATCATCTTTTAATTTTTAACTTTTTCAGCTTAATAAGATACAATGTGTTAAACTGTTAAAATAACAAGCACTTGAACATACACAGTTTCAGATACTCACTGTTCTGCACCTAGATTTGCAAATACAAAGACAAAGAGAACAAGAGCTCTCAGTCTAGTGCTAGTTTGTTTACAATTAAACTGCACTGAGGAAGAAGCAGCTTGGGGAAGTCTTGGAAGGTATCTGAATCCCACTTGGTAAAGATTTAAGGAGAAATAAAAAAGGTCAATGGCTTAGGATGCATAAATATAATAGAGAATAGATCTGGAGAACTGTAGTAGTATGACAAACATTACAGGCTGGAAAATGGTGGAATATTATGAAGATGATTCTTGAAAACAAGTTGGAACCAGACTGAGAAGGGCTTTGTGAAAAAGAGAAAGAAAGAAGGAAAGAAAGAGCAAAGAAATTTGAACTATACACAGTAGACAATGGGAAGTCATCAGAGATTTTTATGGAGCATTATTTGGAGAGTCTGCAAAGAGGCAGGAAGCATTATAATCAGTCAGTTAACCAATAAGAGGTATAAACTTTCTAACTAAACCTAGTTTCTGACCCTAGCTGAAACATTAGCGTGTGAAAACATGACTGAACCCCCCTCAGCCTCCATTTTCTTACCTGAAATTACCAGTATGTATCACAGTGTTGTGACAATTAATGAAATAATGTACATAATACAGTTTGCACAATGCTTAGTAACTCAACTTAAGAGGAGATATATGTATCATTTACTATGTGCCACATACTAGTCTAACGTTTTTGTATGTACTGATTCATTTTAGTCTCACAATCCTACAAGATAGGTATAGTTAAGGGAATTAAAGCACTGAAAGGTTAAGCAACTTGCTTAGAGTCACACAGCCACCAAGTGGTGGATATAGAGTTGAAACACAAGCAACCTGGCTCCAGTTTCATGCCCTTAACCAACATATGATACCTCTCTGGGAAGATCAAGTCAGTGTTTTAAAAATTCTGGTCAAATTTTCTAACTTTCAAGTTAAATTTATAGATTCTTCAATCCCATCCTCCAGACCTATGGGATCAGAACCTGAGATCTGAAATACAGGAATCAGCACTTATCAAACCCTTCCAGGTAATGTGTACCCAGTAAAAGTTAAAACTCATTGGGTTAGGTAGAGCAAAAATCCAATGAAGAGTCCAGGTAAAGTAAAAGAACAGATTAAAACGTAGACACTAATTTTTTTTAAATTACCATTTACTGGTAGGTTATGTGAAATAACCAGAACCGCTGTCTGCAAACCTTAGGGAAGTATAGCTAATATTTTTTGCTGTAGTCTTACACAAAATGCTTCCATTTCAACAATCATAAATGTTGAATATTTATACCTATTTTTCCTGGCTAATAATGAAGCAGAAGTTCGTTAGCAGGGATGGGAGAGTAGGAGTAGCCAGCACTGGATGAACGAATGTCTATTTTGAATATTATTAACTTCCACTTTTTAAAAAAAATTCATACAGTTATATGGTATGATAACCTGGTGTTAAAATCTTAAGAGAAACATAAAATATCTTATCCTATAAAGCAGCACAAAATTAGTCCGACAGTTTTCAATAAGGCAAGATATAAAACTTCTACACATTCGAATGCTCACTTATATTTTACAGGTAGGGTACACATTTTAATTTATTCCAGAAGGCATAACTTTGTTAGGAGGTTAGATAGAGCTTGATATTTAAGGTAGTTAGTCATTATTAGTAAATATAACAAAAACCAAACAAAGGCATCAAAAAATCAAAACAAAGAAAACCCGATGCTGGAAACATTAGCAGAGTACTTTCAAAATGACTCCACAATAACCTAGCTGGCCAATGAATGAAGGGGGTGAAAAGGCAGGTCTGTGGAACTAAACCTTACCCTATTGTTAGCAAACTAAGACCCTTGTGAAAACCTCTGTTACTATAGCCAGTTTAAATAAGCAAGAGTCTCGGATTTTTGCGGCACAGGAAAAACGTCAACCGTGAAAGAAAAATATCCGGGTTTTGAATACAAAGGATACTCAGATTTCAGTTTAAATCCCCACCAGGCATTTCAAGGACTGTCAATTCCCTGCGGTCCAGAGTAATAAAATCTACTCCGGGTAGGAACTCGGAGCCACGAAGAGCATCTCTTCATTCTAAACCTGCTCCCAACCTTCCACCTTTAATAAAGAAAGATTCTTTTGCTTATGGTAACGCTTTCGCAGTAACTGTCGAAGCGTCAGCATTCCAACCGAACTGGCGGAAATACTCAACTACGATTACCAGAAAGTTGAACAACGTTTAACTTGGGGGCGGTCGGGCCTCCAAACCCCCAATACTCAAGAGTTAGCTTCTGCGCGCCTACCGTCGGGAGCGCTGGCCCGGGAGAGGCTCCCCCCGCCCAGACTTCCCAAAGTCCCCATGTCCGGCCCCACCACCCGACACCCCCAAAGGCACACCGAGGCCCAGGTATCCTGTCCCGCCTCCCAGTCTCATCCAACGATCCCGCTTCTTTCCCTGTAACACTCCGTTTCTTCTCGTTACCCATCCACTCACCGAGGCGCGCTGGGCAGAAGTTCCAGGGCGGCCGCGTCACTTTTCCCTTCCCGCGCTGCGCCACACGCCATCCGCGAGCTGCCCCATGCAACGGCCCACACGATTCAAACTCGCCCACTTCCGCCCGCAACCCGGAAGGGGCGCTCAGCCCCGCCCGCTGGACGCGGCGACGCGGGAGCTGGGGGAGAGCGAGGTGCGCTGCTGCGCTTTACACGCCCCTGGGTTCTCTCTCTGCTGTATACTCTTCGCTTTAGTTTCTTTTGTCCCTCTCCTCACATAGGTCCACAGAGAAGTGCGGGCGCGGGTTTGGTTTCTGCCCGGTGGCTCATGAGAGGATCCTCTTGTTTGTGAGATGGATTGAGACTTACTGAATTTTCATCCCTTCAGGGAAAGGAGAGAATAAAAGCACGAACCGAGCCCGGACGTTCTTACCCCTCCCCTGGTCCTCGCGTAAACACCAGACACTGCCAGGAGCAAAGAACAAGCCGTCCACAGACTTAGTACGGGGTTCCCTGGGCCTCCTTGGACCTGTCCGGGCACAGTCAGGACTTCTAACCTCTTTCTCTCCCCTGTCTGAGAAAGACAAAATGCGAAGTGCAGCCATCACACTTTTTCCAGCCACAAATTGAAAATAAGTGGTTGTGAAAGTTCCTGGTGCCAAATAATATTTTTGAGGTTAAGTGTTAGAAAGTGACTTTTTTTCTCCTCTGATAGACAATTTTACAAGATTACTACGTAGTTGTCCTGTGAGATTCTTGGGACAACAGTGTAATTTTCCTTTACTAAGGACCGCACAATATATACTCGATACCAAAAGTCTCAAACTTCTTAAGGGATACATCTGGAAACTTTAAGAAAGGAAGGACTGAACATGTTCTTAAGCAAAAAAGGAAAAAAAAAGGAAACTATATAACTCTGATCTTGAGGTTGCCACCAGATCATCCTCACATCTAATAGCCTTGATTTGATTTATCTAAACTTATCAGTAAGCCCCGATAGAACACCTTCAGTCTCCATCAAAACTGCGATTTGAAAGGCTTCTAGATTTCTAGGAATTTATAGTATAGATAATCTGACATAAAGGGATGTAAAGCTTTTGACTGATGAGCTGTTTTGAACTGTAAAATAGGATAACTTATGACAGTATCTGATATACTTAGTATCTGATATACTGACGCTGTGCAGGCACGAAAAATAATGATGTAAAGCAGTGGGTACTCACATGAAATAACGAAAAAAATCAGCTTCCAAGGACTATATATAATATCATTTCGAAGTATGTGTCCCTGAATGGCACACAAAGTTTCTGTATGAATGCAAAGACTAAAAAGTTATCTGTGGGAGTCATACTGGTGAATGGGGATGAGAAGAAACTTTTTAATCTTTTGCTTTATAACCAGTTGAATTTCTAAAATAATAAGCATGTTTATTCTTGCAATTTTAATTGTTTTTAAAAGAAAATTGTTAAAAATTAAGTGTATTCTAGATGCAAAATCAGGTTTAATAAATGTATAAATATATAATGTTTGAATAGTCTGTATCCATTCATTCATTCATCGATTCATTCAGCAGTTATATAGTAATGGTTTGACCACACATATTGTCATTCATGATATGCTGTATTATTTAATGTCCCACATTTCTAATATTGTCCCATTAAATATATTGCTCCTTCAAGTTCCTTGAAGGCAGAAACTATGTCATTTATTTTCCTGTGTCTTTCATAATTCTTGGCACCTTCCCACCATTAAGTTTTATCCTTCACAGGAATTAAATCCTCAAGAAGTTAAATATACTCAAATTGCCCTTGAAAAGCTCCTAAAACAATAATAAAATATATATGTGATTTTTTAAATATGACTTATAGGCAAGTTTTTGTTTTGTTTTGTTTTTTTAATGTTTGTCCTCTGAGTTTTTTTTTAGTTAGTTCTTCTTTAGGACCTTTAATGAATTCTTCAGTTTCTTCCACCAAAATGCTGACAAAGTTATCATCACCCAGCAGCCCTGCCATCAGTCAGTCCAGTGAGATTAATTTCTTATCAACAGTGGAGAGCCACTTAAAGTCACTGACATTTTTCTCATAAGACTAGTCAGGCTTAAAGTACAAGTTGCCTATGGATAGTGTTTATTGAATGGAAAACCAGCTTATTTGCATATTTAAACAGTTATTCTTTTCCCCCACCCCAGGGTGAGTACAGGTGAATTTGAATACAATCAGTATTCAAGTAATGCTACAGCATTGCAAGAACAAAGAAGATCTGCAATAAATACCACTGACTATATTGAGGAGCCAGAGTAAACCTGGATTTTTTAAAGAAACATTCACTACAGGACATATTTAAATCTAACAAATCCAGCCACCAGACTGGACATTCCTGACAGCCTAGTAAGATTTTAAATTAACTGAAATACATCGATGTGAGTGTTTTACTTAATAAAAACTACAAAGACTGAAGAAAAAAAAAAGGACAAAGAATTTTAGTTTCTGATACCCTCTCAGTAATCTGAACTAGCTGAAAACTGAATTTATAGAAAATCGGAGTCATAGCTAATGTAACTTTCTCTCTTCCCTGCTTTCCTCCTCCCATTCACGCCTTAAACAGCAGAAAATGAAACAGAAATACTCTTGGGACCAGTGGTCATCAGCTCACACACAAGAGTCAATACAAAGTGCTTTGGCAGAAGAGCTCCTAGACCCTGCTTCGAAAGGTTCTTACCACAACCAACACGAATTACAATAACAATAAAATGCCTAGAAATAAATTTTAAAGAAAAGTGTATGACCTGATATTTTTAAAAAAGTAAGTAGAGAACACAAGTAATTTCAGTATTTGTAAATGGAGAATGAGTATTTAAGAACTGTTAAGACGTTTGAAAGAAAAAGACAATTAGCAGAGGCTGGGAGTCAACTAGATACTACTAGATAGTAAAACTTACCACAAAGCTACTATGATCAAAGAGTGATAGTGAAAAAAATTCAAATACAGACAGAATCCAGAAAAATTCAATTATACATGAAATATTGATATAAAGGTAGCATTTCAGTTTAGTGGGAGAAGGATGTTTTCGCTCATAAATCAATGACAAATGGTAATAACTAGCTATCTATATGGAAGACACAAAGTTAGGCCTCTCCCTTGCACCATATGCAAAAATAAATTCTAGAAGGATTACAGATTGAAACATAAAAAATATAATAAACATGTAATAGGAGAAATATTAGAAGTATAATTGTGACTTTAGGTGAGAGGAGACGTCTTACAGAAGGAAGGAAACTTTGAAGCAATAAAGTAAGAGGTGTATAAGCCACTCCAAAATATGCTACTTTGGCATAAGGATTATTTTAAGTTGAAGACAATTGAGAAAAAGCAGACACAGAACTCTCTGCCCCGTCTCTAACTAAAAGCAGGGCATAAATTTCCTTCACTGAAAGTGTCCCCTCTTCTCTCTTTGATACCATGAAGAGAAAGACACACCTTATCATCAGAGATGGTGATGGCACCGAGATAAGTCTGCATAAAAAAGCCTTACTAAAAAACACTTATTTACCATTAGTTTCCCTCATATATTTACTTTCCTACAATTTACTGCCCCTAGAAACCCAAACCCTTCTTTTTTGTCTAGTCACTTCACAAGTACTGCCCTATGTTAAAATGGTATATAAGCTTTCAAGCACAACCACTTCTTTGGGTTTTCACTTCTTTTTTGTGCACACAAAAAAGCATACATCTTTTCTCCTGTTAATTTGTCTTTTGTCCGTTTAATTTGCAGAACTCCAAGTACTACACAAAAGCAGGCAGAGGAAATATTTTTCCTCCCCTATAAAGACACGTGACTATGTTAAAGTTTGAAGTATTAAAGTATTTCTTTGGCAAGATTTACCATGAAACATCAAAAAAGAAATGAGAGACTGTGAAAAACAATTATAGTACATATGATACAAAGTTAACAACTCTCATGTAAATACTTTTTTACAATTTGATTTTTTCAAAAAGTAATAAAAATGGTCAAAAGAAACAAGTAATTCATTGCAGAGGAAATGAGAATGGACAATAAACAAAAAAATATTCAACCTCACTGCTACACAACCAAAAAACTAATTTTCCTTTCTTGGATTGGCCAAAATTAAAACAAATTACAACATCCAATACTGGGAGGGTGTGGTAGTAAAACGTACATACTCATGTACTAATGGGAGCATGCACTGCTACAACTCTTCTGGAAAACAATTCTTTGACCAAATCTTCTCAACTTTGAGGCCCTCCTATAGAAATAAACATGCGCATGCTTTTGAAGCACTTCTAATTAGCAACAACTGTCTATCAGGAGAGGTTTCTGAATAAGTTAGGGTATATCCATACTATTAAGGAGACTTCACAAAGCTGTGTTGCTTTGCCCCCTAAACTGGTGCCCCCAAAGTTAGGGCTGTTGAATCCCCAAAGACATACAAATGAAAATGAAGAATGGTATTATTTTATCAGAAAAGTAACAATGTTCTGCTAGACAGTAATGCTGATACACCTGGCCCTACAGCATGGCACTAATTCTTACATTACCACTCACCTAGAATCAATACACATTGTAGACTATAAATTGCCCTTTATAGCAACTCATCCTCCCACTGGGTTAGCCATACTGAACTTCTGCTAACCCTTTTTGTCTTTCATTTGACTCAGATTTTCTTGATCCTCATCTCCTACACATACTTGAAACAAATATTTGACCCATATTTTTGGCAAATCTTGGTCTCCCCTTTTTAAGCCCAGATAGGTTCCTGAATGTCTGTCCACCTTGAGGATAAATGCCTAGCTTTTTGCCCTTAAAGCACTCCTTATCAATTCCTATCAATATTCTGTCTAATTCCCAAGGTCACCTCACCTATCTAATTAGTGACCATCCCTAAGATCTTGGAACAAAACTTTTTATTATATTAAGTATCCTGCTACTCAGAACCCTAATAGAGCCATACAAAGAAAAATACACTTTTAAAAGTGACTATTCAAAAAGTCTAATCAGAGGCCTACTCAGGGTCCAATAATAAGATAGTTGACCTAGAAGTGGGGCATGGGTATGTGTTGGAAGGGGGAGGGGGACAGGGAGATGGTTGTTGGTAGACATCTGGGAAGGGAGCAAACATGTAAAAACACTTCTGTATCTCCCACTTTTGCTTTCACACTTCTTTCTTCAACATCATTTATTGTTATCATTTTAGACAACTCTGATGTCAACAAACTGCCTTTATAAAATACGTACTTTTTTGGAGGTTATGCTACTGAGGCACCAAATAGATCCTCTATTCCCCTCTACTCCTATCCCTATATGCCACTTTTTCTCTCTTCCAGTTACTAGTTTACTATGTACAATAGTGCTAAAATAACTAAAAGGAGGAAAAAAAAAATGTAGGCAAGGTGTCTGTTTCTCCTTTCAGGAACTCTAGAATAGAGTCCATTTAGTCTCTCTTTAGCAATTTTTTAGACCATCACTGCCCAATACAAATGTTAGCCACATATATAGTTTTCA